GGCAACAAATGTATAAATGTGCTTGACACAATGGATATATGTATGGATTGTGATAAGAGTTGTACAAGCCCCTGATAAAATTATTTCAAAAAGAAAAAAAAAATTGCAGTAAGATTTTGGGCCTGTTAAGTATCTTGGTTTTAAAAGAAAAATGTTTTTTCCCTGTGCAAAAAAAAAAAAAAGAATTTCTCTGGTTTTCTCTTCTGGCTAGGGAAATTTCAGAGGGACACTGTCGCTTAGTCCTTATGGAGAAAGGTCGCCAAATCGGAACCTCAGAGACGCAGCACCACAAAGCTGTGACCGTAGGAGTCAGAGTTCCTTTCCACTCATGTCGCCCCTTCCTTCCAGTCTTTCAGTTACAATCTCTCACTGTCCTGGAGAAGTTATCACATGGACATTGGGTGGGCTAACATCTTTCACGCAAATACATGTATACAAGTGTCCATACACACAAAATGAGGGGCACATGATTCAGAATTGGCCAGAGCATATACCATTTCCTTAGCTACAGTGATTATGTCAAAGATGGACACGTGACCTTGTCCTCTGATCCTTATCCTTATTCTCAGACCATTCTGTTTTGCTGAGACTCCTAGGCTTTCAGTTGCTTAGCAATTTACCTAGCCCACTGGCTCCTTGGCCACATGGGAAGGGCCTAGGAATAAAGCCAATTCTAGGCAAAGTCATGCCAAGTGATAGAAAAAGATGAAAGAAATTCCTGATGGATAGATTTGATTCTTGGATCATGTTTTCTTGAAGGGATGTGAACTGAATCCAAGAAAACCCTGATATATAATAAGCGAAGACACTTCACCAAGAGTATAGAGAAAACATAATTTTCCCCCTAGGCCCAAAGGAACTAATACTTTTTGACTCCTGACCAACAGAGTGAAGGTTCTGTTCAGCTATTTTATTTCCAATAAAAATAGACAGATTACAGAGTCAAACTGTATCCTTACAAAGTGAGACCAGGTTCCTATAGTTCTCCAGCATCACATCCCGCTGTGTAGGGTCCAGCTTTCCCCACTCCTCTGGGGTGAAATCCATGGCCACATCCTTGAATGTCATTGATTCCTAAAGAATAAAACATGTTTATCACCTTTCATGCAATAATCCCACTTTCACTCCCGGTTTCCACGGCCCTGATGCAGAGCCATTCCTTAGGACGGTGGTTCTCGACCTTCCTCATGCCGCGACCCTTTCATACAGTTCCTCATGTTGTGGTGACCCCCCAACCGTAAAATTATTTTTGTTGCTACTTCATCACTGTAATTTTGCTATCATTATGAATCGGGTGACCCCTGTGAAAGGGTCACTTGACCCCCAAAGGGGTCACGACCCACAGGTTGAGAACCACTGCCTTAGGAGAAAGTGACTATGACATATGAAAGTATTCTAACAGTATTCAGATGGACTTTTCTACAAATCAATACATAGGTACGTCAATACGTATCCAATGCACCACGCTAGATTCAACATGAGAGCCACGCCATAGATTTTCCCTTGGAAGATTATAATTTTTCTGGGGAAAAATGAGTTAAGGCGGACATTGAGTCAACAGTATAAATTAGCAAAGGAAACAAAATGTAAGCAGAGGCAATAACAAAAGCCCATGGGCTCTTCATTATGAAACCAGCAAAAAGAACCAGCAACAAAAGAAAAAAAAGATCCATTAGACTTCAACAAACTTAAATATTTATGTGCAACAAAGCATACTATTTAGTGCGAAGACAATGCACAGAATGGGGTAAAATATTTGCAAATTATACAAGATTACTACCTAGCGTATGTAAAGAAGTGGAGACTAAAAGATTAGAAGACATTAATAACCTGAGATGTGCACATGGCACCGTCTTGCTTGTAGAAAGCGAGGACTTGAAGCACTTGCTGATGAAGACCAAGGATTAATATCTAGAATATATAAAGAATTGGAGAATACATATAAAGGCTTGGAGGAAGGCTCATTAATAACTTCTAATGTGCAGATGAACAACCTTACTTGCTGAAAGTGAGGAGGACTCGAAGCACTTGCGGACAGAGATCAAGGACTGCAGCCTTCAGTGTGGATTATGACTCCATGTAAAGACGACCAAAATCCTCACAACTGGACATGATAGCATTATGATAAACAAAAGGGACAGAAGCTGTCCAAGATTTTGTCTTGATTGGATCCACAATCAATGCTCATGGAAGCAGCAGTCAAGAGATCAAAAGACGAGTTGGATTAGGTAAGTCTGCCGCACAAGACTTCTTTAGCGTATTGGAAAGCAAGGATGTTACTTTGAGGACTGAGGTGTGCCTCACCTAAACTATGGTATTTTCAATGGCCTCACATGCATGTGAAAGTGAACCACGGAATACAGAAGACCAAAGAAGAATCAGTGCATGTGAATGGTGCTGCTGGAGAATACTGTAAGTACCATGGACTGCTAAAAGGACAACCCCATCTGCCTTGGAAGAAATAAGGCCAGAGTGCTCATTAGAGGCAAGGATGCTAAAGCTATGTCGCACACACTTTGGACATGTTGTCAGGCGGACCAGTCCCAGGAGAAGGACATCATGTTTGGTAGAGCGGCCGTGACAAAGAGGAAGGCTCTTAAGGAGCTGGCTTGGCAGTGTGCTTCCAACCATGGGCTCAGGCATATGAACACTTGTGAGGACTGGGCAGCGTTTGGTTCTGTTGGGCATAAGGTCGTTATGGGCCAGAACAGAATCGATGGCACCTGACAACAACAGTGCTATAAAGAACTCCTACACCTCATCAATAACAAAAAAGGGCAGACAAGCCAGTTCCAAAATGGGTAAAGGGCTTCCAAAGATATTTCCTGAAATAGAGATGAAGATGCGAACCCTTTCCGCTGCGGACGAGATGACTGACACCAGGGCCCCAAAGAAAAGGGCAGAACTGCCCCCTGGGACGTCCAGGCGCTCACCTTACGGAAGCAGACCACTCCATCTGTTTCCTGCAGGGCACCTGGTAGGGTCACATGGACCTTCT